AAGAGTGATCTGTCACTCACTTCGTATTCGTTCATTCCTTCAGGGAAATGTGAGATGACATTATGATAGGGGGAAAAAATAACACGGAGGTTAATTCTGTTGTGGATGAGGGTGTGCTTCGCTGAGGTACAATAGGATAATTTTGTGGGTTGAAGGGAAATTCACGCACCCAGGACACCTTGGGGACAGTAATCATAGAATCATAGAATGCTTTGGGTTGGAAGGGACCTTGAGAGATCATCGAGCCCAACCCCACTGCAGTAAGCAGGGATTGAACCTGTGAACTTGGCATTATTAGCACCATGCTCTAACCAACTGAGCATGTAAAACTCAAATTCAGAAAATGAGATATGAAGCTGTGTGCCTGTGTTAGAGCAGCACCTTGACCTGCCAGCTCTTTGCATGACCCGAAATGATAGCATCCAGCACACCTTCTCTGAAATGTAGCTCAGCAGGATTATTGAGAGCAAGATGCCGCTATACTTTTTAGTCACCAAGGTCAGTGTGTGTGACTGGCTCGGTAAGAGTTGGTGTTGCCATGGACGTGCTGTGTGGCAGCAGCAGTTAACAAGATAACGCCACCTTTTCTGCTGTGGGGTTGCGTGCTGCCAGGCTTTACAAATGTCCAATATAATCAACAATGGGACCTGATTTGTGCCTTGAGGCTCTTGCTGGCTTGATTAAAGCTCCAATCTAATTACATTAAACTCTAGCATCCATTGCTGCATCTTGTTACATTAGGGAAGTGCACACTTAAACATTGTAGCTGATGACATATTTACAGCCTTGACTGCTACACGCTATCAGTAAAGTAAACCTTAATGAGAGCAAAGTGTAATGAAAAGCAGCTTTGACCTGGCTGTTCCAGCAATTCCTACCTTTACACTTTTTCTCCTGCCCTGCTATTATTACTCTTAAGGTATATGAAACTAGAGTTTGTTCACAACCTTCTCTTCTCCCCCCAGACCCCCCAAAAGTCCAAGCAGGCAGGCAAACAACAAAATAAACTGGCATCTTTCCTTGTGAGCTGAGCTAGCTGTTGACCTTTAGGTATTGTGTTGTTGCATTCATTCAGAACAGAAATACTAACTGAAATTTGTGCTTGTGTATTGCAGTTTTGATCTCTCTGTCCTCTGGGATGCCTAATCACAGCGCTAGCATCCAGGTACAGCATTGGGGTTCGGTGGGGTTATTTGTTCTGCTCTACTGTGTAATACCAAGTGCCATGGAGAAATTGGATTGTGTTCCTCTGCCAAAAGTTAAAGCAGTAGCTCCCTCATGCGCTCTCACTTAGGTGGAAGCCTACGGACTGGAGCATTTCCTGTATAAAGTCTCTTATTTACTTTGCTCTAAAATGCAGATTCTTCTCATTTAGAGCTTTCCTAACTCTCTTATTCAGCTGCTACTATCAATACAATCATACAGAGGTTCCTTTTGTTTTGAAATCTGTTAATGCAACAAGACCCTCTTACTAAAGGCCCTGGGTCTTGGTCACAATGCTTCCTTGTGTACTGAATAAACTTTATGAAGAGTTATTCTAATTAAGACTTTTAAGGCTTGTAATAAGCATGACATGATCTTTTTTCCAGCTTTGTGTTCAGAAGTTAAGGATATTGATAGAAGATTCTGACCAGAACTGTAAGTATGTTGCTTGTCTTCATGGAAGCTTCTAGCAGCCAGCCACTGGGGATAAATTGCAGCAGTCTTAGAGCAATGAGCTGTTTCTCCAAACAGCTTGTTCAGTATTGTAGTGCCTGGTACATCATAAACAGTTCCTGGGTTTTTAAATGTGGAGATAATTTTTGATAGCACTTCCTATAATGAACTTTTTAAAAAAAAGAAAAAAAAAAAAAGAGATCATTATTACTACTGTTTGTGGTCTTGTAAGTCTAAACCACTTCTCTTTCCATGCTCTGGGTTCTCCCTTTTTATAAAGTTGCTGCTTGGAAAGTAGAGAGGGGTCTTCTATAGTGTAATTTATTTTAGTGACTGCAAAGAACACTGGGAAATCCTTTTTTTGTGCAAACCTTTTTCCTGCCTTACGAATTTTTCCTGTCGAGAACAAGGTTGCTACTTCATACATCAGTCCTGTTGGTGCTTTTAAAGCTGTGTTCATCCTAGGATGCGTGTTCTCAAAACCCATAGTTTCTATATAAATCAGTGATAAAACTTGAGGTATAAGAAGACTGAAATGAAGAATATATATGTAATTACTTGCCTGTATATGAGATTATGAAATCAAAGACTGTAATCTGTGATACACTGTTTCTCAAAAGTTCTCTTCCTCATCGTGGCTTTTTGAGTGTATTAAAGGTGGTAGAAGCACTTGGTATTAAGATTTCATGCTCAACACAAAACAGTGTTTCTATATTTGGAAAGAAGTTTTATTTTGTCTTTCACAGTGAAATACCTGGGACTGTTAGCTATGTCCAAAATCCTGAAAACGCATCCTAAATCAGTTCAGTCTCACAAGGATCTCATTCTCCAATGTTTGGATGACAAAGATGAGTCTATCCGACTCAGAGCTTTAGATCTCCTATATGGCATGGTATGTTTCTACATATATTTCATTTCCTTTCCTCTCCAGCCCCTGTGACCCTTTAGGAGGCTGATGTTTAAGAAAAACATGTGACTTTCTTCCCCTCTCCCCAGTAGTCTTGTGGTAATAACGCCCATATCTTTTCTGGCGCTTCTGACAAGTAAAAGATCTGGCACGGCATTAGAGGACTTTAAAAAACTTTGATTCAGACTGGAAGGAGTTTCTGAGTTCGGGCACTGTGGAAGTCACCCAGAAGGCTGCTTTTCTAATGCCTAAGCCTTAGCTGCTCCTTCTGGCTTTAGTCTAGGTTTAAAGTGGACCACAGGCATATTTGGATAGGTCTGTGCAGTTCTGTGTTGCAGTCCACGTTGCAGCACACCATAGCTCAGGTTGATGTAAGTTACGCGGTCTGAAACACTCTGAAACAACAGGAGAAGGCAGCTTTAAGCTGCTTTATCAAATTTGCCCTTCACTGTAAGTTTTATTATGCCTTTTAATGACATGTGCAGACTCTCATTCTGTTTGGTCTCCTGTACGCCACCAGTTTTGTGCATGCATTCTGCAGCTGTACAGGGTAGTTTATAAAATGTGCGTAGGCTACAGGGGCAACCTTGTAGTGACAACATCCGATTTCTGAAAGGGCTGTGGTTATGATTTATATAGCAAAGTGCCTTTCACTCAAGAGTCTGTGCCCCCCCACAAAGGAGCCTCCTCACAAAGGAGTTGTGATAGATAGGTCTCATAGCTTCCTATTTTAGAGGAGAAAGTGAAAAATAAGGAGGACACCTTTTGTCTGGTACTCCTCATGAGAGGAGAATAACTTCATTAACGTTTGATCAGGACAGTGGTTTTGATGTTGTTGCAAAGAGAATTGGAGTTCATTCTTAGTTCTTGGAGTTCAAATTCTGCTTGTTATGTCTGCAGTCAAAAGATAACCTCGGAGAAGGTCTACCATTTTGCTCAACCCTGCCTCTGAGGAAGAGTGCTGTGTAGTGAATGACTGTAGAAATACTATTACATATGTGTTTTGTTAGTGGTGTCTTTAACGTGTCTCTATTGAGAGTTCATAGCTGGAAGCAGTGAGTCACAATAACTGGTGATATTTACTGAATATCTTGGTCACTTTCTTTGGACAAATAAGTTTCCAGAGCAAGTTAATACAGCTATGTCTTGAAATGCTAGAATTCCATTGGATGTTAATGACTGTTAAATTTGTTTAGTTTAGAAGCAAAAATGTTTTAAACCATGAAATTTTCTACCTGGCAGAGTAGAAGATTAATTTTCTCCTGGATTTCTGTATTGCTGCTAGTAATTCTTATTCTCAGCTCTCCCACAGCGTGGTCTTGCATACTTGTGCTGGATCTGCTTTAATAACAACATTGATAAGAAATAAACAGGTTCCTTTTTCAATTGGGACTGAAACTGGGGCCTAGAGAGCTGGTTCTGATTTCTCGTTAACACGTGACACAGGTCTGTCAAAGAGCTAGCAGCTGCTTTAATGGAATTAGAAGGACTTGACAGTATGGGCAATGGCTTAGTTTTGGTTCAACCCTTCAATAACTCTTTAACAGGTATCGAAGAAGAACTTGATGGAGATAGTGAAGAAACTGATGATTCACGTGGATAAAGCAGAAGGGACGACGTACCGGGATGAGCTGCTGACCAAAATCATAGATATTTGTAGTCAGTCCAATTACCAATATATCACAAACTTTGAATGGTCAGTGTTTTTATATGTCACCTTTGAGATCATCAGCAATGGTAATGCATGATTGTCTGCTGATAAAATTGCATCCCTTTCACTTTTTGTAGGTACATAAGCATCTTGGTGGAGCTGACCCGGTTGGAAGGCACGCGACATGGGCATCTTATAGCAGCTCAGATGTTAGATGTAGCTATCAGAGTTAAAGCTATTCGTAAATTTGCAGTTTCTCAAATGGCCATGCTTCTGGACAATGCTCATCTCATAGCCAGCAACACCCAGAGAAATGGGATCTGTGAGGTGCTTTATGCTGCTGCTTGGATATGTGGGGAGTTCTCTGAGTAAGTGCAAACAGAAAGCCTGACGTGCTTTGAGCGGCTTCTTTCAGGCAAAGATTCAGGTCACTGAAAAGTATTTTTGAGAGAAGGATAGTTCAGAATACGTACCCTAAAGCTAACAAATTCTTTACCGCTCCCATAAGCCTCCTCAGCTGTTTCTACCAAGATGGATACTTCATTTTGAATATCTGGTCTTTTTTCTTATCTCTGTAGTCCTGCCCACTCATGCAGGAAGGCATAATTGTGGGTATAAGCAGTAAGATGTTAATACATTGAAGGAACTCCTTAACCGTTAATGTCTAACCTCACTTACATCACAGGCAAAATCCAGTCCCCATGTTTGACTGAATTGGTTTTTGCTCTCCTCCCTGTTTTGCCCTTGTTGAAAGGTTTTTGCAGAACCTGATCTTTCTGGGGATTAGAAATCATCTCTTTTGCTCAAAACTTATCTGTACCCGCAGTAGCGCAATTCTCAATGTTCTTGTGCCAACAGTGCCTTTTAGCTTAAATAGGTGTTTTTGTCTCTCAGTTGTGTGTGCTTACACATGCTTACCTAGCTTTCATTTTGGTAAGCTGGACAGGCCATGATGCTGTAGTCTCCTTTTATCATCTGGCTTGGTGTCTCTTCTTGTAATTTTCACTCTGAACACTGGTTCCAGTTTAAATTCACATAGTAGTTGTGGTATTTTTAGGGAACACTGATATGGCTCAGATCTTCAGTTAATTAAAAAAGTTCTGCAAAGAACACTGTAGATTAAGAAGCAAGAGAACATACTCTCCTTTTTCAATTTGATCACATTTTTACTTTGAAAGGACTTTAGCTTTCCATTTGTAATGGACCAGCAACTTTTTTGTCCATCTTCCATTTAGTTGTGAGCAGACAGTTTTGAGTAAGGCCATGAGACTTATTAAAGCAACTGTTACGATCTGTGTTCTTTGTATTAAGCATTGCCTACTAGATTTTATTTTTGTTCAGTAAATGATTGGAAATACAACCTCGTTGATGCAAGTGGTGAAGCACAGAATGGCAGGAAGGTAGTTGGGCTGCTAGATCCAGACTGTCAATGGAGTTGGCACTTACAAGTGCAATGCTTAGTTAATGGAGCGAATTCTGAACTCGTAAAGGTGGAAACTGAGGTGTCCCTCCCCTCTGTAAAAGGAAAAAGCTGTAAATTCTTCTGTGCCATGTTACTACTGTAATTTGGAAGGGGAAGATGCGCAGAGAGCAAATGATTATGTGTTTGTAGTCTGTCCTGTCTTTCTGCAGCACTTTGTACTGCAACTGAGGTTTTTGAAAAATTCTTCTCCATGAAGACTGATGAAATGTTGAAATTTCTCAATTGCTGTCTTTCATCTGTCCACTCTGTCTTTATAGACACCTGGAGGAAGCAAACCAAACTTTAGAAGCAATGTTGAGGCCTAAAGTTACAACTCTACCAGGCCACATCCAGGCAGTTTATGTCCAGAACATGGTGAAGCTCTATGCATCCATCCTACAGCAGAAAGAGCAATCTGGGGAAAAGGAAGCAGCTCAGGAAATTACACAGCTGATGATTGAGCGTTTGCCTCAGTTTGTACAGAGTGCAGATCTAGAAGTTCAGGAGAGGGTAAGAGAACAAAATTACTTCAGAATTTACCGTACAAAGTCTCTCATTTGTCTTGGAGCACGTATGTCATTTTCTGCGGACGTGCATGTTTCATATAAGCCATTGTTATCAATGGAGTGGTACGTTTATTCTGTACTTTGTAACTTGGTAAAAGAGAAGCTCTAGAACTAGAGGACTGGGAAGAGTGGTGACATTCCATGTCAGAGCCCAGTTCTTATTCCAGTTCGATGCCACCTCTGAAGACTGCTTGCAAGAATTTCATGCAAAACAATTCAATTTTAAAATTATGCAAGCACATAAGGACCCAGGTAGAAGAGAGGGTTAACATGGATTTTTTTACATTTGCTCTAAATCTGCAGTTATGCTGCTTCCCTTAATTCCCTTGACGGAGTAGAATAGTTGTCTTCTGCTGATATTCATTGCAGTTGATTTTTTTGGTTCAGTTTGTTAATGTTAATTCTCAAATTACTTCTGCATTTGTTTTTAGGCTTCTTGCATCTTGCAATTAATAAAATATATTCAGAAGCTACAAATAAAAGAAGTACCTGTAGCTGAGGAAGTAATAGCCCTGTTTGCTGGTGAGCTGAACCCCGTGGCTCCTAAAGCACAGAAGAAAGTACCAGTTCCAGAGGGGTGAGGTTTCTTCTCTCTCCCAAAGCCTTATTTAAACTTTTAAACTCTTAAATAGTAAAGCTAAGTATATGAGGAGAAACACTGAAATACTCAGGGGTACTGAGTCACGCTATTTGTTTGTTTACTGCAATTCTTACCAGCTTGGACCTTGATGCCTGGATCAATGAACCTCCATCAGACAGTGAGTCTGAAGATGAAAAGCCCAAAACAATTTTTCATGATGAGGAACAAAGGCATTCCAGACATAGACAGCCAGAAATAGATGAAGAGGAACTGGCCAGAGTGAGTTTCCCTACATAATTCATTAGTAATGTTGTAAGTGGTACTAGAGCAGTTGGAGCTGTTGTGGATTCTCCGTGTAGCCAGGGGGCCATTCTGCTCTCTGCAGCTCAGGAAATCTAACGATTCTATGTGAACAAAATACATGTATTTGAATACAGGTATTTTTTTAGGCATTGTGGAATACATCCAATATAAAGTTCTCCTAGAAGTCTAGCTTGCCTATCTTGTCCAAATGGAAGCAAGATATTATAAAAACTTGGCCCTTGTTAGGAGTTTTGAGCTCTTGTAAAAAATCTGACCTGTAAACTGCGGTGTCTAGTGCAATTCGCTTTGAAGTACAGGGTCTTGAGGATGGACACTTGTGCTGAGCTCTGCAACTATTTGGTTTTTTACACACCTCTTCCATTGGTGTACTTCTGTTACTCTGTTCAGGAAAAGCAGCAGCATCTTTGCTCATGGACTTTAGCAGCTTCTATGAATTACTGTAATGTGGCTGTTCTCAGTAGCGATAACCACCTTTCTCGCTTCTGACCTTTTAGGTTTCAGAGAGGAAACTTTTTATTGATAAGTCTTCACTTCTTCCTCTCTTTGCAAAAATGAAAATAGAAACATTTGAATTGCCATCCAAATCTGGTCTTCAGAAGTTACTCTCTCTGGTCCAGACTTAAAAAGCAAAGAAAGGATGTTCTAAGAAATATTAGTTACAGTAGTAACAGCACTTGTAGTTACATTCTAGTACGTCTTGTAACTCAAAACTGGTTTATCATACTCAAGCTACTATGCTGTAGTCTTTTTGCAAGTAGTTACACATTGTTCCAAAAATTCAGGGAGATTGCATTTTGCATTTTGATGCCTTTTATCTCTCTTTGCTTATAAACAAACATTCTAACTACAAATACTCTTTTGCTTTCAGCGTCGAGAAGCCCGGAAACAAGAACAGGCAAACAACCCATTTTATATTAAAAGCTCTCCTTCCCCGCAGAAGGTGAGTGAGTCTGAATTAAAATCTCTTGCTTGCCTCTCATGTAATTGTGTGAAGGCTTGCTGAATGTCAGAGCTGCAGCTTCCTTCTGGGACATTCTGATTATTTCCACTGCAATTCTGATCACTTAATAGTGTGCCAACTGGAGTGGCTACCTACAACTATTTTTGTAAGTCTTGTTTGTGTTGAGAAACTCACAAATGACCGAATATCACAAGAGCAGCCAGCCTTCTGTGAATCTCTGGTGGACCTCCAGTTTAGAAATAAGGAAGTGGTGATTGTCACAGCTCCCATTACAGAGTAGTTTGGAACAATCTGGATTAACTTGTCATGGAAAGTGCAGCGTTCATATTTCAGCAAGGACTCTCTAAAAGCTGTAGAGGAACACTTCTCTGTGCCCTTGTGTCACAAATTCCTGTGAAGGTAGTTTATCCCACCTCTGGGTGGTGGAAGGGTTCAGATTGCCAGGCATGTCGTTAAGAGCAATGAAGGGAGGGCGAACCTTGAACATGCGGTGTGGTTTATGGATCAAAAGGTCATTGTGGTCTGTTCTTAGCACCTTTTTCAGGGAAAGAACCCGCTTTATTCCCTGTATATCCTAAGGACTTCCCCATTTTCCTCAATTCAGATCTCAAAATCTGTCTTTTGAAGTGGCAAGTTATTAGCAATAAAACACAAACCAGAAATTCTTCAGAGTTGCAACAAGCCTTCTTCAGGGCAGTAGCAGGGTTAAAAAAACTGTAGCTAAAAGTAGGGTCTTTTATAATAGTTATCAGCTGCCTTTAAGATAACACTCTGCTACCACACAGGATTTAGTACTGAGCTATTCCATTCCTATCCTTTAAAATGTTCACTTAAAGGATTAAACTGCTTGATGTTTTGAAATGTGTCTATTTATATAGATTTGTATCTGGCAGTGCTCAGAATGTAGCAAATTTTCATTTTCCCAGAGATACCAAGATACTCCAGGTGTGGAACATATACCTGTGGTCCAGATTGACCTTTCTGTCCCCTTAAAAGTTCCAGGTAAGTGCAGCTAGTCTTTAAAATTAATTACAGAAATTCAGTTAAGCAGAAGTAATAATTCCTTCTTAGGAATCCCTCCTTAGGTTTTTAAGGGCAAGGAGCATACTTTCATTAGATTCTTAAATATATCTCCTTAACTTACATGTGTTTGAAAATAGGACTTTGCAGTCCGAGTGCAGTTCCTCTCAAGACAGTATTTGAAGTAATTCTGTGATTAAGTACATGGTGCAGCCAAGTCTGTAACATGTAAACTAATAACCACTGTTCTGTGTAGGTAGCAGTCACTTTTGCAATGTCTTAAAGGGCTGATGAAGGTGATCAGGAGACATTAAGCAGAGTCTAATGGTGGATATACTGTTTTAATACCTTGTTTCAAAAATCAAAAGGTAGTTTTATGTCTAATGATTAGTTTGATATAGCACTGAAAAGCTGTTGATAAAGTGCAGTACATTGCAAGTGCTGAGTTCCAAGTGCAAATATTTAAGGCTTACATAACAAAGTTTTTTTTCCAAAAGTATGGAAAGTTGCCAGCAATGGCACCAATTCTACTTAAAATACCGACGTTTAGATGCTCTTTGTAATCCAGTTAATGTGGACAGGAATCAGGGAGCAGGATAGGCCTCTCTCCTATTTCTGGAGAGATGGAGTGTGATAGTAAGGCTGGTGCTAGAGGGGCTGTATGTGAGATGAAATGGAAGCATAGAGATGTGTTGATGCTTCTCATTCTGAGAAGGTAGAGGCAAGGTTCAGTCCTAACATACTGTTCAGTGATCAACGTCCACGTGGGCTGTAGCCTGAAACTGAATGCCGATGTCTGACCAGTATGTGAAACTGGAAGAAGAGCGAAGACATAAACAGAAACTGGAGAAAGACAAGAAAAAGAAAAAACAGAAAAAGGAGAAGAGAGGTAAACATCATCGCCATAACTCTCTGCACACGGAGAGTGAGGAGGATATTGCTCCAGCTCACCATGTCGATATCATAACAGAAGAGATGCCAGAGGTCAGTTGTTTTGGTTGGTGGTCTGAGTTGTGGGGTTTATCCGTGTGCTGCTCTTGAGAGATTTTTTTTTTTCCCTCAAGAATTGCCAGCCAGTCTGTATTGTTGCAGTTCAAGAGCTCTGATTTCTTGCAAAGCTGTTTAAGAAATGACTGATTGATAACAGTCCCAGGCTATTCTTTGCAGGGGAAGAAATGATTGTGCACAAAAAGACAAAAATTGCCACTGAAGCTGTTTTAAAAAAAAACCAAACAACCAACAAAACAAACAGTATGCATCTCTGCTATAAAAGTAACGCTGTCCAAATAGTCACTTCATTTATTATGCTCTGCTGCTTCACTTTGATATTAACTTGCTGTCTAGTCAGCAGGTTTGCAGCTGATTGTAATTAATTGCACATGCTAATGATGTAATCTGTATTTGTTCCTAAAATTTCCTTTAATCAAAACCAAACAGCGGCAATTCAAATCCTGCCGTTTATGAAGAATGCTTTTCTGTTCTAAATTAATCTTGTAACTAGATGTTGCATTAAAGTGCATTGTTCCTTTAACTTACTGTGCCTGACTGCAAGCTGGCCTGTTCCAGGGTCAACAACCTTAAAAAACTGGTTTGGGCGATGTAAAGCTTCAGCTTCAAAATTGCTTGTGGTTTGGTTCCTCAGTGGATGGTCTCTTTATCTCTCCTGCAGAATGCTCTGCCCAGTGATGAAGATGACAAAGATCCCAATGATCCATATAAGGCACTTGATATAGATCTGGATAAGTAAGTGACAGTTTTGTGGGTGAATTTACTTCATTGCTAACCAGAATGCATGAGGGCAGGTCTGGGGCTAAACAGGCAAAGGCACTACCTACAGTCCACTAGGTAAAAAGACTAAGTCTCTCTCATCATCCTTGGATGTAACCTTAGATGGTCGTCTGGGCTTGGTTCCCACTGCAGCACAGATGATAAAAGCTAAGCTGCTGAAGCAGCGAGGATTTGGGAGGGGCAGGGGAATCATTTTGTGTGACTGCATGGAGTCTGAAAGCACAGGCAGTGTAGCTGGGTTCAGATGCAAGAGAGTTAGTCTGAGCTTTTGGGTGTACCAGTATCCCTGTGATCTAACCTGCATTGGCACCGAGTGTGACCTGCATCCGTCTGCGTTCATCTCGGAACCCCTGTGCACACGGCAAGCCTGTACGCTCTGCGTTGTGATCGTTTGACCAGTAACAACCAGTTCGGAGCATCCCCATTGCCCTGTGGATATTCAGTGTGGTTCCGCTGTTGAAAAATGTTGTTCTAATATGATTGAGTGAAGTGCATACCATAACTGACCAGAGTCAAGGGCCCGTTCAGCTGCTGGAGTTGTTTACAGCGCTGGCACCCCAGGCTGCAGTGCAGCAGACTCTGAATCCCTGCATGCCACGTGCTAATTAGCAGTGGGCTGTTAAGTATTGCACATGGAGATTTTTTTTTAGTTGCTGTTTTACAAAATTGCTACGCTAAAAATAATTGCTGATTTATGGTCCATGGATGCCTCCTGTAAAGTTTTGAAGACTGTGCAGGCACATGTATGCTTGTGCAGTGTGTGTATCTCTCTCTCTCTGATACATAACTTTAAAGTCTGTGCTATTCTTTGCAGTTCTCAAATCTGTAGCGGTTTGGCCCCTCAGTACCTTGCAAAAAAAAGTGATGTAGAGTTTTTAAAAATTGAAAGAACAGCTTCTGAAAAACTTCCTTTTTTTCATGATCTGGTCATGTTCCTCTGAGTCTGCAGGGGACAAATGTATAAAAGGAAATTAATTTCTGACTGCAGACCTCGTATTTGCATGACAAGCCTCAACAGCATAGAAAACACTGAGCAGAGCAGTTTCTGAATGCTGTGCTCCAGGAGGCATCTTGGGACTTTTCGATTGTTTCCATCCATTTTCTTTCCATTTCATATGAGTCGGTGTGCTCTCTTGTCACGTTTTCTCATGTCTCTGTCCTCTCTCTTTCTTTCTGTGCTTGCACTGCTATGTCTGTGTCACGCTCACATGCAGTCTGGTTTCAGGGAAGCCTTCCAGGTAAGAATATACTGCTAAGTGGTTGACCTTCTTTGTCAGGTTGGTTGATCTCAGTGGACAGACTTGAAGGGTAGTGAAACTATTGAAATCATTGACCCTCAAATTTGCGTGAGTCTATTTCAGCACTGAGTTTCAGCACTAATCCCTGTTCCCCTACAGGTATATGTGAAATAGCTTAAAGATGAGATCTGTTTGCTGTTCAAACAGATGGGGTCCCTCTTGCCCTTACAGTGTCTGTTTCAAAGGAAAAAAAAAAAAATTAATTGGGTCTGGTTCTTCATGCAATAGAAGCAAAAAAATTAAGGCAGGTGAGACCATTAGAAATCTTCCTGAACTGGTGTTTGCTGCTCAAACATTAATTCATGTTAAGTAAAAGTTGTAGAAATAGAAGAAGAGGCAACTGGTGAACTTCTCACTGATTTCTGGACAGTGTTTGACAAGAGAGGAGAAATTTCTGTGGTGCTTTTTTCCCCAAGTAATGGATTTGGGATGCAGTATAAATCTGAGCTACTGCTCATGCTTTTGGAAATGGGTATCTGAAATTAAACACAACTTTTTAAATGTAATGGTAGAGTACAGACTCACAGCGTAAACTTCCAAAATGAAACAATTTATTGCTTAAAATAATTTCCAATTGGAGTGATCTATTCTCAATAACAACAAAAACCACGCCCTTCAAGGGCTGTTTGAGCCATGCTGTGGTTCCACTGCTTGGATTTCCATACTGTTGCAAATGCTTTGTACCATTTCACGTCTTTGCTCATTCTCTGAGAGTGGTTCCACAGCAATGCAGCATAACGCGATGTGTATGTATTCTTCTGTAGGTGTTACTCAGCCTGCAAGTAGTTACCACTTCTAAGAGCGATCAGGTGTCAGCAAGAGCTTGGCTCTCGGTCACCTTCAGATTGTTTCTATTAACTTCTAATCCACGAGGGCAGTGTCTGCAGTTACATAAATAAACTTCAGGTACAGAAATGTGTGCTGATTTAAGATTTTGGGGCCCAACTCTGCAAAAACAAAGCACACCTTGTCTTGGACATCCAGCAGATAATCTGAGCTAAGGGAGACCGTATGCAAAAGGGTAATGCTCTCTTTATTTTTAAGACCCTTAGCAGACAATGAGAAGCTGCCAGTGCAGAGACACAGAAATGTTGAGACCCTGAAGTCACCAGACTCAGAAGCTCCCCTAGCAGAGAAGAAGAGCAAGAAACCCAAAAAGAAGGAAAAGAAACACAAAGAAAAAGAGAGGGAGAAAGGCAAAAAGAAAGAGAAAGAGAAAAAGGTAGTGGAGGAGGAAGAAGAAAAAAAGGTAATTCTGCAAGACTTGTGTTATTTTAGAAACTGCTGTTATGGGCCATATTTATTACTGTGTTTTGTTTGTTGCTTAGGAACAGTCTCATTTGACAATTCAAACAGCTGAATATTTTCAACCTTTATTTCCTTAAATTTTTACAACCATAAGAGCAGGTATTTAAAGATTTCTGTTAATAAAAATAACATTTACTTAGCCTCATAAGTTAGCAGAATTCAGCTTACTGCAACCTACACAGCAGATTTTGCAGATCTAATTTGGAAGCTGAGTTTACTGATATTTTGTTCTTAAAATGGGGAACTCTGTAGCAAAATATGTGGAACTCGCCTCTGTTCTACATCCTGTCCCCTGTATACTCAGAATCTTTCAGTTGTAAAACCTGACATTAGTTGTCAGTTACTCTGAAGGAAGTATCCTTCTTGTTAACCACTCTGTGGAGATGCAGGTTTCCTCTAAGATGCAGCCAGTGTGCTTTCAATGCCTGTGGGTATTGTGATAATGTGCGGTAATTTGCAGTTACTGTCAGCTATGTCCCTGTGTCCAGGTTTGGAAGTACGCTCAAAGGCTGCAGTTAAGCTTTTTGAACTATTTGCTTCTAAATGTATTGCAGCATCTCTGTATGAGCATTCTGGAGCAGTGCGTTTCCATGAAAACTTGAGGGTTTAATTTTTTTTTTTAAGAATGGTATCAAAACAAACCATAATGGTTTTGTTTTCTCTTGAAATTCAGGGAGAAGACTTGGATTTCTGGCTCTCCACTGCTCCACCGCCTGCTTCCACTACCCAGCCACAGGTAGACATCTTACCATGTCACGGGAAACTTTTTTGTGTGATTGCATCTTAGCTGTGATAGGAGTGCTTTGTCATGCTGCAGGAGAGAAGGGAAAGATAGGCTTCATCTCCTCAACTTGCTGCTATGAAGCAATGACATTTTATCTCCCCAGCTTACAGACACTAATAGGAGGTTTCAAGCTTATTCTGCTGTGCAGATCAATGGATAGAAACACAGATGCAGCTAACAGACTTGGTGGATTTTAATATTATTGGTGGGTTTTAATAGTGTATTATTAGTGTATGGCTTTATTTCCTAGTGTGAGCTAGACACTAGCAATATTAATAGACATGAGGGAGACAGTCTGAAAGAAAGCCTCATGAATTCTGATGGGAGATTTTTAGAGGAAGAGACAGGGAGTATAAGGGGATGGATTCCTTGGAGGAAATCTTTTGTATCTTGTCTTCAGGTAATCATATTTGCTGGGTTTTAGAGGCATAAAATGAAAGCCTTGATACCATGTTAGTCTACTGTAATTTTTTAAATAAGGGGCGGGGGGGGTGTCACTGTTAAGATTTCTTTTGGTGTGGGATTCTGTTGTTTGAACTGCGTTCCCTTAGTGTCATAATCCTTCTGCTAATCTACTCAGAGTGAGCCTGAAGTGGGTGCTGCTCTTGTGGCTGAACCTCAAGAGGTAAAGAAGGAAGAAAGGGAAGAGCGAGATGATGAGGAGGAGGAGGATGGAAAGGTAAGTGGTTTAAGTTGCTGACACCCTTAGCCATATTCTCCTAGTGTCTCATATTCCTTAGAAAGAAGCACACAGGAATTACCAACAGCATCCTGTTCAGTGTAGTGACCACCTGCGAATAGGCAGCAGTGGAATGTTACGTCCTTGAGGAGCTCTAAACACCTCATAGTAAAAGGTTTGGTTGTTCCGTGAGCCAGGGGTCAGGTAGCAGTTTTAAAGCTCAGCTTCTGAACGGTTGAAGAGGTTTGGCCTTCTGCTGATCCCAGGCTGCTTTGTGTTAAGGCATTGTCATCTGAGTGGGGAGCCAGGCTTTACTGGGACCCAACACAGAATGACGACTGGGGTTTAAGGAATGGGAGCTCTGTTTCGGGTTTCTGCAGTAGTGGGAAACTTTGATCAGTCATCCAGAAGGCTGCGTAGAGGGAGAGCCTAGAGTTGAAAGATTGGTAGAGGGGTCATGATGTAATGGCTGGAAATATAGGGTTTCTTTAAGGGTTTGTTGTAGTTTCTTGTTCTTCTTGGTAGAAATCCTCCAAGCATAAGAAGAAAAAGCACAAGAAAGAGAAAGAAGAGAAATCAAAGGATAAAAAGAAATCCAAAAAGAAGAGTCATCACAGCGAGGAGGAGACAACAGAGTCGGTGCAGAATGGAACACTAGATGATGAACCACTACCAGTGAGTAGCTGTGCACTGGCAGCGCTTGCCTTGGGGAAAAGGCAGGAGCTGAGCTGTTTTGGGAGGAAGGAGAATGACAGCTCTGTTCAGAGAAATTAGTTATATTGCAACTGTGATTTCTTTCTTGTTTTTCAGCCTATGTCCAGTTACCGCCTTCTTGCTGAAAATCCATACATTAAAATGGTGAGTTTTTTGGCATTCAAATCCAGATGTCTTCTCTTTTTGTGTTCTCTAAGAAAAGAGGGGATACCCTGGGGATAGTATAGCGACTTGATGTAGACAACACTTAACTGAAGAACCATTTAAATCCCAGGAGGCAGATACGTAACAAAGCTCCGTTTCCATTCCTTTGGATGTTCCACTTAACAAGTTTTTAAGTTTATATTTTCCCACTACTTAGCAGTACTGTGCAGCTGATCACCAGCGTGCTTTTCTTTATTCTATAGCTGTACCAAATTGCCTTCTTTTTGAAGCTTGCTTTATTCTGATGTTGTGTTCTGTTCTGGTGCTCTGCCATTTGAAGTTTCTGAATCTTCCTGTGATTATTTTTTTTTTTCTTTCATTTGCAGACATATGATATTCAAGGAAACCTCCAGAATGATAGCCAAGTTACTGTCTCTGTTATCTTTGAGAACAAAAGCACTAGCTTCCTTAAGAGCATGGAACTAAATGTCCTGGACTCTCTCAACACTAAAATGCTCCGACCAGAAGGATCATCAGTACACGATGGGATACCTGTGCCCTTCCAGCTACCCCCTGGTATGCGCAGCTTCGCACCGGGTTCTTGGAGTATGTCTAGTCCTGCACTGCCCTCCTGTGGAAAGAATTGTTTGAACTTCCTGCTACTTGCTGTTTTCCAGAAAGACATGTCCCTGTGCCTGGGTGTTCACTGGGCTTTCACACAGTTCTCTGGAGAGGATAAGCCTTCCTACAGTATGGCTATAAACGCAGGTGGTTCTGTACAGCAAGAGCAAAGCCTATAATATAGGGCTGGGAGTCTGAATGCCTGAGTTCCTTTTTCAGGTGACTGCAGGCTGGCACAGCTTTGAACATGCCAGCATCACCAACTACAGGAATCCAAAATTCATGAGGAGTTTGCTATGAGATTTAAAATGAAACAAAGTTATAGGTTCGTGAACCATTAGAATCCGCTCTGGATTTTATTCTCGAGCTGTTGTTCCACCGTTTTAATGGCAGAGGCCATATGCAGTGAAAATTTGTGATAAGTATGTGCTTATTTGGATGAGGAGCTGAGCCCTTAAGAAGTATTAGACACAGAGATGAAGGATAATGGCTTCATACATAGTACAACAATACAGTCGAATCGCTGAACTACTTTGAATTGCACTTCCTTCGACAAAAGAGTTAATCTGAATACTGAAACGGCTCACAGAAGTCTTCTAGGATGTAGTGGCTTCAGGGGGCATTTTGATCCCCCATGAAAAGCAGTGGGGTATTTTTTTTGTTATTCTGTATAAGGCAGTTTTTGACACAGACTTGTATATTAAAAGAAAAACATAGAAACATTAGAATTAGTTCTGAAAACTACTTGGAAAGCTGTATATTTTCCAGTTTTACAAGCAGTTTAAATATATTGCCACTGTGACATACTTTGCCCAGGCACCCACTCAATAACCTCTACCAAATGCCAGCTATCACTGCTGCTTTTCAGAGACCCAAGAGCTAAGTGCTGTAACACTGGTAATTCACAACAGGAATTGTGCATATGACTCTCTTCCAACTACACGGAAAACTTCAAACTTGGTTGAAAAATAGTCAGTACGTGAAGCTTGGCTGCTACTGATCGGTTTATTCTAACCATTACTTAGATATGGAAACCATTTTCTGACCTGACTTCTCCCTCTCCTCTCTTCATGCTAGGAATCTCTAATGAAGCCCAGTTTGTGTTTACACTTCAGAGTATTGTTATGGCTCAGAAGTTAAAAGGAACACTGTCCTTTATAGTCAAAGTAAGTGCAGCTTTAAACTCTGTGCTTCTGCTTCCTTTGGAACTGCGTAAGGGAGCTTGACTTGGGTGGAAAGCACTGCTTTAGAGCTTTTCTTAGGCATCATTTCATCTCTGCTGCACCAACCCATTCTGTGATGTGAGAACTATTTTTACATGACATCTTGTGCAAAGAATGTCCCGAATACTGCGTAAGCATGTCCTAAATTGTCATTCCTGGCAGTGTGTGAGCAATGCAGCCTGAAACGTATGCCACATTGTCAGCTAGAAATTCACTGCAGTGGTGCCTCTGCTGGGGAGAGGAGGTCAACCAGCGAGCAAGAGATGCAACCCAGAGTCTGTTTCTTCTGATCTCAGTTGTCCAAATATCAGTTGGGCACTGCTACCTGGTACAAGGCTGGAAAAACAGTAATAAGAATTAGGTACAGTTAATAAGGATGGAAACCGAGAACAAGAGTGAGGTTAGCTAAAGGCATTGTTTAATAAGTATCGACCTGTATAAGACTATGTGGGTTTCTAATCTTATTTCAATAAGATTATTAATGAAGGCGCTGCATGAACAGCTTGAAGGAAGTGAATGGAAGACTCAGAATGACTTCTGAGTCAGCCACTATCTCTATTTTAAGGGTTTCTTAAAAATAGTATACTAGTCCTATTTTCAGTACCTAAGCATCTGGGAGATACTAATTTATTATTTTGCTTGGGAAATAGTGAACTGTAAAACCACATCTCCAAATGTTAGTTTAAATTCAGTCTGCTCAATATATTTCAGCAATCAAAAATGCAGCCAGATCCCTCCAGTTGTGTCCCTTGTCTGCTGTAGGTGTATGTATCAACCTAGCTGGCCAAATCTTTTCTCTAAGTGGCCTGATGTTGTAGCGTGATGGTCGTCCTCAGACTGATCCTTCAGGCCCAGCCAGGGTATATCGAAGGGAACTGAGCCCTAAAGTCTTCGTTGGTGCCTGTTTGGTAGGTGGGGGTGGTGCCTCCTCTTGCTGCCTTGGGGCTCCCATTCATCTCCTTTCCTTTGACCTGTTGCAGAATGATGAAGGTTCAACCCATGAAAAACTAGATTTCAAATTGCACTTCAGTTGCGCTTCATACTTGATCACGACGCCTTGCTATAGGTAAGTGCCATTTAGGGAGCACAACATCGGTGCTTTTGCCATCCATGTGAAGCTGAGCTTTGGCTGCAGGCCATCTCTGCAAGATACGCAGCATGCTTTTGACTTTGGCTGCTTGTGATTGCTTTGGTTACAATTCAGTTATCTTGTGTAATGTTTGACTGTTAAAACATGTCCAGCAACTCATTTCAAGTGATTCTGAAGAAGGAGCTATATGTCCTGTACGCTGGCAGAGGTCATGTGGAAGTAGCTCTGGTTGAGGACATAGGGTACTCCAGTGGAGTCCGGAGTATGGTTCCCATATTTGCTGTAAACCGTTTTCCTAGAGCTTGGTAGTACTTGGACTTCTGCATCCTGAGATATCTCAAGGTCTGCATGGGGCTAATGTGGCAGATTTCACTTTAATTTCTAGTACAAGTGTCTACTTTCCTTCCTGTTTTGCAGTGATGCTTTTGCCAAGCTCCTAGAGTCTGGAGATCTGCACATGAGTTCTATTAAAGTAGATGGAATTAGCATTTCTTTCCAACATCTACTGGCAAAGATCTGTTTTCATCATCATTTTTCAGGTGAGTCTTCTTCGATGCAGAACCTTCTGCAAAATTCCATATTCTAAAAGTTCTGCTGTGCTTGGCAAGCACAACACTCATGGCCTTGACAATGACAGAAGCAGGTGATGCCCAGATTAAATAAATCTGGGAGAGGAGTGTTCTTCCAGTTCTGTAATGCATTGATTTCCGCAATGCATGCAGAGTTCTTCAAAATGAACTCTCCTTCTGTCCCTGTGGCTTTCCTCCAGTCCAGCGAGGCACGTGGCAGATATCACAGGAGCAGCTTGCTTATAGCTAGGGCTATAAGTGTTCTCTGGAGGGTGTATTTGATCTTCAGTGCTGCAGCCTACCTCTTTCCCCAGTGCTTTGTTTCAGTAAGGGAGAGTGTGAGGTATTCAAGTTTGAACTTACTAATTAAAAAACAAGTACTGGATGAAGCAAAACAAATGGCTGTTTCATCATGCTCTGGTGTATGCATTAGATGTTGCCTCACTGGAAGTATTTCTGGGGAAGAGATCTACATTCTAATCGGCATTTTTGCCACAAAACATTTGCAGCTTACTTAAAAGACAAATGACTAACCTCGTTATTGTGAAATATCCCAGATAGAAGCCAGGAGGAGCCAGGCACGTACATCATCTTAACCGTGACTTCCTCCTCCCCTCACTCAGTAGAAGCTTCTATTCTGTGAGGCCAGGCAAAGCAGTGGTTCCTCTTCATAGGAAGCAAATCTTATATTAAAAGTTGTCCCACTAAATGAAAAACTCCTGCTTTCTTTATAGTTGTGGAACGCGTTGATTCGTGTGCATCAATGTACAGTCGCTCTATCCAAGGCCATCACGTCTGCCTACTGGTAAAAAAGGTGAGAGCATTGTAACACTCTGAAACAAGACCTGAGAGAAGCTAAATCTGCAGCCTTTCTTGTCTTAACAGAAAGAGGGAAATATTCCCATCTAAATCATCCAGGGACACCATGGGCAATTTAATTCATCTGGCCCATCTAGCAGTTTTCGCTGCGCTACTACCACGCTTGTACCTCCCCGTGGGCTTTCTGTTGCCCGGCGTGTACCTGGTGGGTAGTAGCAGCACTGGTGGCTTCCCCGAGCTGACCTCTCGGCTAAGCCTGCTTCGTTCCTGTGCAGGCTCCGCCGGCTGGTTCCCATCCCTGAACTTGGCTGGCAATAAAATTGTCCCCGCTTAGAAGAGGAACTAACGGATTTCTTTTGTTTTTCTTTCCAAGGGAGAGAACTCTGTATCCATAGATGGGAAATGTAATGATTCCACCCTGCTTAGCAACTTGTTGGATGAGATGAAAGAGACATTGTCCAAGTGCTGAATATTCCTTACAAAATATTCCAACTACAAGAAACACACCTAATGTGTAAAGATGAGCAGACCCAAGTGTTAAGTTTCTCCCTCGTACGCATGTACTATCCTGGGGCACGTGCTTTTCAGTTAACTCCACCATTGTTTGCAGTTTAGACATTTTAAGGCTGTATGTTACCTTTTTATTTCAAAAGTTTTTACAAACTGTGGTGTTAACCCTTTCTAGCCCAAAGAGATCCTGGTGACAAGACTGGAGGAGGGAGGGAGGGAGGGGCAGCGCTATTTATTCAGCAGCTCACGATGATCCCATAAACCTTGCCATCTGCGTGGGATGGTGGACTAAGCAGAATTTTATCAACAGTAGCACAGAGCCTGTTGCTTGTGCTTATTGCCAGGGAAGGTTGACTTGATCCTTAGCCATGGAGTGTGTCTCCAGGGCTGCTGTAGTTGATGTATATTTCTAGCAGAGGCTGGTGCTGGACCTGAAGGCCTCTTTTTTTTTTTTTTTTAAATATATGATTTATTATTATTATTATCTCAAGATCTATTGTGATCAGCATATAAACATCCTCCATCTCCTTGAGCTAATCCAAATGAGCCCTGTGAGAACCTGGGATGTTTGAGTTTCTGTTTATAGTAGTTGCCTTGAGCCTTAACCTTCTTTTAGTGACGGCTGAAAGAGTAGAGAGTGAATGCATGAAACACAGGTTGGAAGTGTTACTGTTTGGTTCTCTGCTCCTGTTGACCACCCCCGCAAATGGAGTCTATCATGCCTCTCCCCTTTGAGCAGTCTCTGCTGATGTGTTTTCTGAGTCCACTTCAATTTCACATTCCTGAAAAGTTAGGGTGTAGCAAGAAACTGGAAATCCAAAGGGGTCTGTTCCTGCTTTTTTATAATTTTGCTCACCAGCTGAGGTTGACCACTACCAGGTTAGAGAAATGCCCACACGTGTAATCCCTTGTACTCTGAACAGTTTGCAGATACAGCCCCGTTCCCTCCCTCTGTGCTGTGAAATCAGAGATGTCGTGCTGTCTCAGTTGTCCCCGTAGCGTCCCGTGGCCCTGCCCTCGCAGCAGCGGATGCAGATTTAGCAGCGCAAGCGTACCTGGCTCCCTGCAGCAGAGCTCTCCCTGCCTGTGTGGCGGGAGGGAGGGGTTGGTGAGGAGCTGCAGACCTGTCTCTGTAGAGGGTGACTTTAGAGGGAAGAAGGGGAGGGTCTGCAAAGTGAAGCCCATCGGCACTATTGAAATCTTTTTGGAATCACTGACTGGAAGGGGATGTCCCTGTGTCCTTTACAGAGACGCTTAATTGATGGCCTTCTCCAAAATCTCTTGCTTTCAATTTTTGGGGTTTTTTTTTTCAGCCCAAGTTCTTTTAGTTGCTGTTCCATACCCAGCAAACTGAGAACACGCTTGAACGGTTTTGCTTTGAGGCACGGGTCAAGAGCTGTGGGTTGCTGTTCCCGAAAGGGTCCCCGGGGAGGAGCGGGGTTGGTTTGCGCTTCTCCAGCACGGCCGCCGCTCCCACAGGCGTCAGCAGCGCCCGGCAGAGTTCAACTAAAACCCTGCGCAGGGAACGGGATAAAGCGTTGATCTTCTCCTTTGGGTGAACGTCCTGTGCTTTAAGCGTTGTGTTCTCTTTACTCTCTTCCCATATTAGGTCATTTTTGCAAAGGCTCTGCTGCGGTTTTATTGCTAGGACCAGCTTCGTATTCTGACCGCGCTTGTGCGCTGCAGGAATTCGTTTGCAGCCGGCTTCACTGCTGGTGAAGTGGTAGGTTTTGGTATTGGTCAACCTCCCTTGGTTAGCCAGTTTGTGTATTAGAAACTGAACATATTAAAATTGTCTTAAAGGATAATGTTCCTCAATTAGTGGTTTGTTTTGGTTTTTTTTTTTTTAAATTCATGGATGAAAACTGTCACTTTAGCATGTAGAGTCTTCTCTTACAGAATCCTGTGCAGTGATTCTAGAATTTTGAAACTGTATGATGTGTTACATTCACAAATTTGCTATCAACATTCCCTTAAAAAAAAAAGAAAAAAAAAAAAAGAAAACAACATACCACAAGCTGCTGTAATGATTTTGTGTCAAGATGATCCAATAAACTTTCAAAACAAAGTTAAATTTTTGGCTTTGTAAATAGTCCTTTTATAAGACCCGTCCAGTTTGTATGGACCCAAAACCATGACGTGGACGTACCCCAGCTCTGAAGGCTTGTGTCTTTGGGGGGGGTAAGAGGCATGGCATTCCAAAAGCTCCGGAGGAGGTAAGAAGTCATTCCTAACACCGCGGGGCGGGTGGGTTTCATCGGCTGGGGACTGCTGTGCGTCAGCAAGGGTGGTCCTGCCGGTCCCCTGTCCCTACCGTGCGCATCGTGTACCCGCTCCGTCAGCGGCAACAGCTCGAAGGCGTGCAGTACGTGAGCAGAGAAGGAGTCTGTAGTGAGGGAGGCTGGAATGATGCTGTTCTTCATCTCTTGTATTTTAAACTGACCCGATTTTTACAGGCACCAAAGCTTTGATTCCTACGCACTGGTCAGGCTGTCAGGTTTTAACTCCTTTGGAAGGCAGCATCGCAAGCAACAGTTGTCACTAACACAAAAATTACAGGGGAGAGAAAAAAAAAAAGTAATTCGGACAACCTCAGTTAAAGCTGCATTAAGTTGGTGTTGGGTTGGGTTTTTTTTTTTGATTGCAATTGCAGCTAAAATCTAAGCACTTGCGAAACTCAGAGCTCTGGTCTTGATGAGATACCTAGAAACTGAAGGACAGAAATCAGCCCCTTCCATCTCTTCCTCTCAGCCTGGCATCCAGTAAAATTTGTGACGGAAACATGGTAGCGTTAGTAGCAGGATTAAGGTCTGGTACCATCACAACAGGAACCAAGATGTTGGTTTTGCTGATACTCACAGTGGTTCCTAGCAAGACCAGAACCTGTGAAAATCATCTCTTAGGACAGAAAATATCTGGGGCTGCACAGTCAGGAGCTGCCAGCTCTGCACTGAGGCAAACCCACGGTTTGCACGAACTCGCCGGCCCCATTATTGGTAGGTGAGCTCCTGCTGCGAAGGAAGGACCCGGTCATTTTGTTTTCCACGTGCAGCGCGAGTCCAGTATCGCAATCCCATATCGGCCTGCGGGGAGGATGCCTGCTTGCTCTGCCGTGTCGTGGGACTGTGCAAATCTGATTGAAACAGGATGAAAACAACAAACACCCATCTCTTTCCAAATGCATGGAAAAAAAAAAAACAAACCGAGGAAGCACTTGGAGCGAACATCGAGTATGTAATGAGCTCCAGGACCTTGAGTGGACAATGCAGGATTTACGGTCAACCCAGCACCGTGCACTTTGGCTTCGAACAGTGAGACAGGCTCTTGCCTGCGTTTACGTCGTGTCAAAATTCACTGAGCAACTGGACAAAGAAAATCGGTCCTTACCTAAGTGTACTTTTACACACGGTATGTAATGAGCAAGTGCATAAAAGAAACGGTACTCTGCACCGTCCTTGCAGGGAGAGGAGAGCGCCAGCCCCGAGGCTTGTGCTCGTGACCGTTTCATGCCAAGTCTCGGGCAGAAGCAGTGTCTGGTCTGTGGAGGTGCCCGACCGCGGGCAGCTGCGCTCTCTGGAGAGGCACTGACGCTGCTGGAGCCGCTGCCCCGCTCCTCCCTTGGGCAGCGGCCGGGCCCCTGGGAGCAGAGTGGGACCGGCTGCTCTGCAGAACATCCAAGCTGCTGGGAAGAGGAGCAGCGGGAGGCCCGGATCAAGGAGCCGAAGCCTTCACCCCCGGGTGCTGCCGCGTGCTCCCCGGGCTGGGCTGCGAGCACTGCGGGAGGAGAGGGGATGAGCTGGGGGTCCGGGACTGCCAATTTGGGGCAGTCATGGGGGCACCTGGCAGGGAGCGCCCCGAGCTCCCTGGGGTGCTAGCGGAGGGGCGGGAGCCTAGGAAAAACGCTCCGAGTGCAGGAGCCGAGGGAGACGGGAGGGAGCTCTGCAGGGTGTGAGGAACGGCTGTGCTTTTGGCAGGGATTTTTAGGCTTCCCAGGGACTTACCACCTGCATTGGACTTCCCTCCTTCTGATGTTTGTGAAAATTTCCCTTTGAACCAGCAGCTGTGTTTCCTGCTACTTCTCCTTTTTATGACTTTAAACTTCAACTATGTGCACACCCCTCTCAAACCAAGCCAGCTGAAACTGCCCCGAACCCCTGGCCAGGCTCGGAGCTGGATCCGACC